GAGCTGTCCCTGGAGAAGGATATCATGCTTGGTAAAGCAAAGTGTTGGAGAAAAGAAGGAGATGGATTGGCACAGGGACAGCAACAGTGGGCTCAGGCATAGCAATGATTGTGAAGTTGGCACAGCACTGTTAAATTGTGCATAGGGTCGCTATGAGTCAGTATCAACTTGATGGCAGGTAATAACAACAAAAGTAGCTATTCACCAAAGTAGGGTGTTAAACATTGTCTTTGTAGATTATGCTAAGCCAATGTACCTTGATATCCCTCAAGACTATGGTCATGAGTGCCCCAGACCCAGTGATTCATTTCCTCAAGGTGTTTGACTATGGGTAAGAAGGTTTCATAGCTTTGTCCCTTGTATGTTCTACTATGTTGTTGTTTTTATTATTAAGTGCCATTGAGTTGGTTCTGACTTCAAGCAACCCTGTATATAGTTTCCAAGGAGTGGCTGATGGGTTTGAAAAGCCAACTTTTCAGTTAGCAGTACAGTCCCAGAACACCTATATTTGTGTATATATTTGTAGTACCTATACAAAGACATACTGGTATGGCAGTGTAGGAGAAGCACTGGAGCTCTGAGGCCAGTATTTGCCAAACCTGACTGGACAATAACAGCAATGTAATTACATATGTAGAAATATCCTCTATGTGATAGGAGTTTTATGTTGACTCATCAGAATTGTCAGTGGTTTGGCAGTTAAGACACAGGAATCCCCCAAGGCTAGACCTACTATAGAGCAGCTATTCAACTGAAAGGAAGTTTCTTCAGGGTATGACCTATCAATTGAATGCTCAGGCAAAGCTTGCTTGTTTTCTGCTGGCTCTGGATTCTGCATCTGACTTGTCATCCAACCTCCGTTCTTTGGACTTGAGCCAGTGACCTATTCTATTGACTGTCAATTCTGGGAGTTGTTAGAAGCCAACCGTCTTACTTGCCCAACCTGCCTGCCTACCATCTAACTTGTCAATATCCATTGATCAACCCTGCAGCCATATGAGTCAAAAGTCGCCATCCTGACATCTGACCAGCAGGCTTTGGACTTGCCCACATCTACAATTGTGTTAGCCATTCCTTGATATAAACCTCTCTTTATATATACATATACAAGCTTCACTGGTTTTGCTTCTTTAGAGAACCCAGTCTAACACACTGTAAAATCTATATATATTTGTGGGTGTAGTCCCATTTACCTTCCAATTACTTATCAGCTTGTGTGTCTATCTGTGTCTTTCTTCTGAGGCACCTCTGGGAGGCCTACAACCTTTCAGTTAACAGCCAAGTGCATTAACTATTTGCATCACTTGGGACTCTAGTTTTTGTTAAGTGCCATTGAGTCAGTTCTGACTCATAGGAACCATGAATGGGGTTTCCAAAGAGTGGCTGGTGAGTTTGGACTACCAGACTTGTGGTTAGCAGTCCAGTGCTAATCCTACAGCACCAAAACAAGACTCCTGGGACTTGTTAGTAGGATTCAAATCTCAGTTCTGGGAGTGGTTAGTTATGTGTCTGTTGTTTTGTTATTATGTGCCGTGGAGTCGTTTCCGACTCATAGCGACCCTGTACAGGGTTTCCGAGGCTGTAAATCTTTTCAGGAGCAGAAAGCCTCATCTTTCTCCCGTGGAATAGCTGGTAGTTTTGAACTGCTGACCGTGAGATTAACATCCCAATTCGTAACCACTACGCTACCAGAGCTCCTTAGTTATGTATCTATGGGTAAGTTATTTAACCTCTCTAGGCTTTCATTTTTCCTGTGGAGCTGTAGAATAAGTGCTGGATTGATGATCAAAAGGTTGGTGGTTCAAACCCACCAACCACTCCTTGGAAACCATATATAGGGGCACTATGAGTCACAACCAACTTGATGGCACTTAACAACAACAACAATATAATTTGGAAAATAGTAGCATCTATGATTGGTTTATGAGCCTTAAATAAAATAATCTGTGAAAATTAAATAGTTAAATATTCATAAATGCTCACACTTGTTATTACAATTATCTTAGAATATCAGTTAAATCAATTCTTCATCAAAACCTATATGTCTATGTCCATCTCACCTGTAGTGTCACCTGTTACAGATTTCAACATACCACATGATAGGAAACCCAGGTCATCTTTAATCATTCTGTTACAAAGTCCTTCCTTCCACTGACTTAAAAGCTGTCTCCTTATAGCTCTATCCTACTAATCCTAGTTCTATCTCCTTGTTGTTTTCAAGTGCCACCAAATCGGCTCCAACTCACAGTGTATAGTTTCTGAGGCTGCATATCTTTGCAGGAACAGAAAGCTTCATTTTTCTCCCACAGAGTGGCTGGTGGGTTCAAACCACTGACCTTATAGTTTGCAGCTCAGTGCTTATCCCACAGAACAACCACCCTTAAGGTTCTATAAAACATCTCTTTCAAATATTAGACTTCAAATATTTGATAAGGGTTCCTCTGAATTTTATCTTAAGACTGAACATTTCTAATACACAGTTTCAATCCCTTTATCACCTTGGGTACTCCTTTCAGAAGGGATTTAGTTTAAGACTACAGACCTGCAGATAAATCAGAGCTCTTTCTTCAAATTCTCCATAATATGCTGATGGTGTGTTTTGTGTTTCTGTCTTTCACTATTAAGCACTCTACCCTCCCCTTAATATCTGTAGCCATAGATTCAACCAACTGCAGATAAAAAATACTCACACAAAAAAAGCAATGAGTAATCAAAGCAACCCATCAGAGGCTAACAGGAAGCATTAAGTGCTATTTATGTAGCATTTGCATTGTATTAAGTAATCTGTATAAGTAATCTGGAGATGATTTAAAGTATACAGGAAGATGCACATAGGTTATATGCAAATATTATGTCATTTTATATAAGGGACTTGTTTGGGTATTAATGGGGAATCAGTTCCCTGAGATACCAATAGATGACCATAATTTAGAACAAGTGATTAAAAATGATCTTTTTAATCATTTTCTGACAATTAAAGTAACTAAATATTTAGCCTATGTGAACACTGAATTTGTATTTTGAAGTTACTCATTTATATAAACAATGTTTAAGTATGTAGCTGCCTGAGTGGAAACTAATTGTAAAATGTAACCAATTAATTTTTGTTATCATATATATAATGGGATATCATTGCTGACATCAGATGGGCCTTGGATGAAAGCTGCAAATACCAGAAAGATGTTTACCTGTGCTTTAGTGACTGCAACAGCTTTCAACTCTGTGGATCATGACAAGCTATGGACAACACTGGGAAGAATGGGTATTTCAGAACACTTAATTGTGCTCATGGAAGAACTTGTCCACAATCCAAGAAGCAGTCATTCAATCAGAACAAGGGACTATCACATGGTTTAAAATCAAGAAAAGTGTGTATCAGGTTTGTATTTTTTCACCATACTTATTCAGTCTGTATGCTGAGAAAATAATCCAAGAAACTGGATTATATGAAGAAGGTCATCAAGTTTGGAGGAAGATTCATTAACAACCTGCAATATACAGATGGCACAACTTTGCTTGCTAAAAGTAAACAGGATTTAAAATATTTACTTATGAGGATCAAAGACCATAACCTTCAGTATGGGTTGCACTTCAATGTAAAGGAAACAAAAATCCTCATCACTGGGCCAATAAATAACTTCATGATAAATGGAGAAAAGATTCAAGTTGTCAAAGATTTCATTTTGCTTAGGTCCACTATCAATACTCATAAAGCAGTAGCCAAGAAATCAAACGATACATTGCATTAGGCAAACCTGCTGCCAAGACCTCTCTAAACTTTTCAAGAGCAAATAGGATTAAGATGTGCCTGACCCAAAACATGGTATCATGTAGCCTCAAATTCATGTAAAAGTTGGACAGTGAATAAGGAAGACCATAGAAGAATTGATGTGTTTGAGTCATAGTGTTGGAGAAGAATATTAAAAATACCACAGATTGCCAGAACGAACAAATCTACGTTGGAATAAATACAGCAGAATGCTCCTTAGAAGCCAGGATGACAGGACTTGGCCTATCACACATATTTTCAGGAGGGACCAGTCATTGGAGAAGGACATCATGCTTGGTAAAGTATCAGTGAAAAAGAGGAAGACGCCAACAAGATGAAGTGACACAGTGGCAACAGCAATGGGCTTAAGCATAACAGTTGTGAGGATGGTGCAAGACCAGTAGTTTCTTTCTGCTGTGCATTGGTTTGCTATGTATTGGAACCAATTTGAAGGCACCTCACAACAACAAATATAAAAGTGCAGCATCTTAGCATATATCTTGAGTATAATATTGTCTGAGTCCATCACATTAACTATTATATGTACCTAAGAAAAGATTGGTGGCAGGGGGAAATTAGAATGCAATTATAATTTAAAAGTTCTGCTTTGCTGCAAGTTTCAGAATTTCTGTGTAACATTAAGTACTCAGTACTCATATATTTGTCTGGGAGTACTGGTGTGCCGCTGCGGGCTGATGCATCAGACTGCAAAATCATTTGAACTGCAAGGTTGGTGGTTCAAGCTTATCAGATGTTCCTTGGAAACCCTATGCAGTGTCACTAATGGGTCAGAATCAACACAATGACACTTAACAACAACAACAACAATATTTGTCTTAACTAATTCATCCATTTTAGAATTTTCATTTTCTATATTATATTTTTCTATTGGAATTTTAGACTCAAGTAATTTCTTCAAAAGTTTTCACAGTATGATTATCAAAACTAATATCTATTTAAAAAGAAGACATCTAAATAGTAAAATTAAAAATGCTAACTTGATGTTTATGGAAATGAAATTATAATAAATTAGTATTTTGGAACTGTATTTATTAATGTCAATAAAATGGTTATCTTTCTTGGTTAGATATGAAAAATATTATTATTTTGAGACTATGATATTTTAAGATATTTTTATGAATCTTGTTAATAATATTCTTTTTATTATTCAATCTTAAAATTCACTGTTCTCTTTTATTCTTTTTTTTTTATTATTATTTCCCCTCCTTAGGTTTGGATGTGTGGAGGAGAAATGTTTGATGTTCCATGTTCTAGAGTTGGTCATATCTACAGAAAGTACGTCCCTTATAAAGTTCCATCTGGGACCAGCCTGGCAAGAGTGAGTAATTGGGGGCTTGATAGAAGAGTTGGGCTTGATATAGAGCTCCATAAACAGAACAGGCAACCTCACACAAGGTATAATTCAAAGCACAGGCTGATAGAAGCACATGACCAAAGTAAAAACCTCACCACCTGCATTCTATTTGAAAGGCTTTAGTACATAGAGAGTCCCTGTACTTCTGAGGGGTTTTACCACCATTCTTTAAGGAACTATCATACTAATTCTTATGAATAGTTTCTAAGTATTTTTGCATACATTGTATTCAATATTTACCACTACCTTCTCAAGTCAGTGCTCTTATCTTCATTTTGCAAATGTGAAGACTGAGGCTTAGAGAGGTGACTTATTCACACTCACATAGATGAACTACAGCAGAGTATGAGCTTCAACCCAGTACTTCTGAATGGACATCCCATCCTTCTACTATAGTTATCACTACGTGGAGTGTAACAGGATCCATAATAAGTCAGATGGAGAAAGGGGCAACGGGAGATGAGGCGAGGTAGATGTCCAAACTCTGCCTTTTTCATTTTTGTGACTAGGGCCAGCTCTGCCAAAATTTTTCTCAATCATCAAAGTTCTAAAATTGATCAAGTCTAAGTTTGCTTTTAGATACTATTTTGAATAAAACCTTTCCCTTCCTTGAGCCAGTTTCAAGGAAGATTTTCTTATCTGCCTTTTAGAATGTTCTTGTTGTTGTTGTTCAGTGTCATCGAGTTGGTTCCAACTTATAGCTACCCTATATAGGTAGCTCCTTCAAGATGGCAGATCAGGTAGACGTGTAGTGAGGAACTCAGTCAACAACAACACGGAATACCGGGCCAAGTGGACTCACGAGATAGTGTTGGAACTCTAAAACAAATATAAAGGTATGTTTGGAGGATCAGAGGGTTTACAGCTGGGGAATTTGAAGAGAATCCAGAAAT